TTCTGAAATTTTGGGGTTCAGTTCAAATTTTGGTTTTAATTTTAGGATTTTTAGGGTATTTGGTTTGAATTTATGAAAGGAATGAAGCTTGTTTAGAACCTAGCCCTATTTTTGTTTTCATTCACAGTTGTTTAGCATCTCTGCTGCTGAGCTTTGAAAGTTTCAAAAAGCTTTTGCTTAAATGGAGGTAAATAAGTTTTTTGGATCTGTTTTGAATCTGTTTTGTATCTGTTTTCATTGCCAGTGTGTGATTTAAATCTGTTTTGTATCTATTTAAATCAGTTTTTTGGATAATATATATGTTGTAGTCTGTTGATGGATAGGAAACTCTATAATATATATGTTTTAGTTTGTGTTAATTCTTGTAAGTGTTGTGTAGGTTGTTTTGTTAAGGCTTTTGGAAGAATGGATGCAGCAGATTTTTTGCAAGGATATTATCTTCATGTGTATTTGTGTGATGAGTTGTAATCTTTAATTTCATAAGTTTAATTTGGTTTGTGTATTAATTTTTGTAATGGTTTGTAAGAGATTATATTTCCTTTCCTTGCTTGGTTGGTTAAATGTGTGAATGTGAGATTCATTTAGTTTAGAAATTTAGATTGGAATGATGGATTTTTATAGGTTGAATTTACATAATTTCAGGTTTTGAAAGCTAAGTAAAAAGTGTTTTGGGCTTGTTCATAAGAATTTAATAGGTTTTGGCAATTTGACAACAAAAAATGTGTTTTGGCTGAATGAAAGTAAATCTGATTTGGGCTTTGTTTTGCTAAAAAAAAATGATTTGGGCTTTTTTTTTGGCGAATTAAATAAGATTTGGGCTTTTGAAAATGTTGAAATTGAGCTCAAGCCCAAACCGATCAGAACTCAGAACCGACCCGAGAACCGAGGCCCATTTCTACTTCGGCCCAATTTCGGCTTTCACCCTAGACCCGACCCGACCCGAGAACTGAGCTCTCCATCGGTTTGGCTCGCGGGTGTTGCATAGATACAGCTGCACCAAAATGGATTCAGTTGCATCCTCAACTTGTGATACTCGCAAGTGCACGAGCCGTTCGGTAGTATA